CAGTGACCAAGGAGTCCACAGCTCCGTGCAGAGTCAGGGTGCTCCAGGAGACGAGCTGCAGAGGGGCAGGATCTGACAGAAGGAAGAGCAAGTCCCCTTGTGTGACACCCCAGGGCTCGAGTGTCATGTCTGTCCCATGACCCCTAGCCTTTCCCTGGTAAGCTGTGTGTGCTCTCCTCCGAGCCATCACACGTGCTGTTCCCTCTCTGGGAAGACCCTTCCTCCTGCTGGCCTGGCTGTTGTGGTGGTCCTGTGGCACTTGTTCTGACCACCCTGTTGGCTCCGAGGTTAGGCACGCCGCCCTTCCAGAACACCCTGTGCTCACACACGGCCCACAGCTAATGTGCTTGCGGCAGAGAGGGGTAGGGGGGTCGTTGCCTCAGGCAGCAGCTCACAGCGCCATGGGATGAGGGGAGGAGGGAGCGGGGAGCAGAGAGACCGAGCGCCAGACCGGTGTGCCACTTACACGTTGCGTGTGTGTGCGGCTGGCTGGGAAAGCTGGAGAGGGTTGTTGGACGAGAGGACATGAGAATTATCTCGAGTGATCAGCCGCAGCTCAGCAAAGGGGCAGGACTGGAACCGAGATGGGCATGACATCTCCAGCACAGGGTGCAGTCACAGATGGGGTGCAGGGAGGATGCGGGGAGGCTGGGGTATGGCCAGGAGGAGAGAAGTGCTCCATGACTAGGAGGCCCTAGGCGGCTGCTTCCAGAAGCGTTGGCTGTCACACGTGCGCCGTTTGTAAAAGCGGAAGTCTGGGAGCAGGAGCCCCGCCCCCGTGCACCTTGTCTTCATCGCAGTCTGTCCAGTGCACCGAGGATGCCATGCCCTTTACCTGGGTCTTGTTGATGGACAGGAGCTGGACTCTCTCACGTCTAAACCAGGATCACAGCCCCCCCGGGCCTCTCAGGCCATGAGGGTGCCACAGCCCACTGTGGCAGAATGGGAAGCTCAGGCCATACACAGGCAGAGCCGGCTCTGAGTAAGCAGGGGTGAGGGCCACAGCGAATGGGCAAGCAAAGCGCATGGCAGGCCTCTCATCCCCGGAGTCCCCACACAGACTGAGGTCACTCGGACTCCGTCATCCTCTCCCAAATGTCATCAACAAAGGACAGTTCAAACAACTTGGGGTGAGTGAGGGCTTCAGATGTGAGCAGCTCAGAGAAGTCCCTAGTGAGTTCGGAGTGTCTGGGAGCAGCAGACCCAGGCATCTGAGGGCTTTTACGTGTGCGCCAAGGACAGTGTGGTCACGGCCGCCTGTTCCCTGCAGAGCCGCACAGCAGACAGATGGAGTGCAGAGGAGTTAGCAGGTGTGGGGGCAGGGAGGGCCAGACAGAGCGGGGATTCATGCAGCCAACGCCCTGGCCTCCTCGGAGGGACCCACTGCCCTGGGACACAGTCCTCCTGGGGCTCTGGGACCAGGAGAGAAAGTGAGGACGAGAGAGAGAAATAAGAATACACACCCACAGCTGGGCAAGGGTGGACCTAAAGGCCTACTGTTGAGTGGAGAAACAGAAAACCCCACCGCCGCCCCACACGTCGCTCCGCCATGATTTGCCTTGTGGGTCCAGCCAGCCGGCCAGCCTGGTGACCCGGCGATCTTACACCGAGTCCTAATTGAACCACCGCCCCTTTCCTGCCTTGGAAGTAACATGCGTTCAGAAAATCAATCCATTTGTAGGGGGAGAGACCAGACTGCTTTCCTGCTACTGCTCGTATTTTCACTAAAACCCCATTTTACTGGAACCAAGGTTGAAAAAAACAGCACGTTTTATTCAAAACAAGGCAGTATTGCTATTGACAGGGCTGTGTGATAATGAGGACGATCAATTTCCCTCCTCCATTATGGGGTATTGAGCAACTTTGGAGTAAACTTGTGGCATCATTAGACAAGCTCAGCGTTTCTCCCTTTTGAGAACTTTTTCTGTTTTTCTTTCTTTTTTCCTTTCTGCATATTTAGATTTTAAGTACTTCTTCTCTCGTGAAAAAAATAAAAAATACTAAAAACAAAACCAAAAAAGCAAAACCAGAAAGAAACAAAACCAGAAGTCCCCAAAGCAATAACTGAAGTGCTGATAATAATAACTGGAGATTGTAGACATTTCTTTTTATTCTCTCCCCAAAGCAATAAGTAAAGTGCTGATAATAAAAACTGGAGATTGTAGACATTTCTTTTTATTCTTATTAATAATACATTCTGTTGTTATTTCTGCATCTTGCTTCATACAGTCTGTCTCCCCAGCTCTCACCCCAAATTAAAAGAATGCAGTTACCCGACAAGATAATCCTCGCGATGGAACCCGAATGGTCAAGGGGAAGGGTGGATGTTCTGTTTATGTCCTGGCTGGGTCGGGTCGCAGGCTGGGTGGGGTCGCAGGCTGGGTGGGGTCGCAGGCTGGGTGGGGTCGCAGGCTGGGTGGGCACAGGGAAGAGGATCAAGAGAAAGGTCTCGGGGAGGGAGCCAAGCAGTTGGGTAGATTTTCACGTGAAAGAGCAAAAGTGATGGAATTGGAATTAAAGTGTTAAACAATGTATTCCATGAGTGAAGGAGAGACAGAGGGAGGGAGACAGAGAGCCCCCCGAGGGGCTCAGACACCACATCGGCCTCAGCCAGTGCAGGATCAGGCACACATGCACTGGCCCGTGTTCTCAGCAAGGTCTCCATGTGGACTGGAGCCCACCCACGTGGGCCAGCTCCGCACAGCGTCCCGTTTTACCTGCATCACTGTCTGGACCCTGGAACTGGATGGTTTACTGCCAAATCCTTTTGACGTTTAAATAAGCTCTCTTTTTAGGCACATAGAGCATGTGTACGAGAGGGAGAGGAGAGGGGAGAGAGAGAGAGACAGAGAGAGAGAGAGAGAGTCGCCCCTCTGCAGCGTCTGGCTGGCTGCAGACCTTGCGGAGTGTGGTTGGTTCGAGGAGGAGGGCAGGTGCCGTGTCTCGGAGGCAGGCGAGAGGCTCCAGGTGAGCTCCGTGACCTTTCCACCTTTTTCAGCCTAGAAACGGATGGTAAGCCGTGTAAGTGTGCCCCACATTCCAGTCCTTTCAGTGTACATACCACAGAGCTGCGGGAGCGGCCAGTGGGAGAGCCCCATCTTATGTGTTTCTGTCCCTTAGAGAAGTGCCCTGGCCACCTGTGGGCGGGCCCCCGTCAGTGACTGCCAGTGTGGACAAGGGACAGTGGAGTGGGGCGATTCTGAGCTGAGGTTCTGGGTCAAGGCCAGACTCTGCCCTTACGGCGTGTCCCTGACAGTTGGTGTCTCTGAAAAACGAGGATGATGACAGTACCTCCCTCATAGACGTCCTTGCAGGGGCTGCATCATGGGATGCTTAGAGCAGGCCTAAGTACCCCCAAGTACCCTAAATACTCCGCGGACTCTCAGCATAGTGTAGCATCCGGTCCTGCACCACAGGCCGGGACCGGACCTGTGTGAGGGGCTGCAGGGCCCATCCCCACCCAGACACTGTAAATTCTCTGTCGGAGCACATCTCTCACTGCGCAGAGACCACCTGTCTGCTTACCCGTCTCACCTGTCTCACCTGTCTCTCACTGCGCAGGGACCACCTGTCTGCTTACCCGTCTCACCTGTCTCTCACTGCGCAGGGACCACCTGTCTGCTTACTCGTCTCACTCATCTCACCCGTCTCACCTCATGCAGAGACTGTCGACTCATCTGTCTCATCTTTAGTCTGAGAACCCTTGGGAGCAGGGACACCTCACAGTCATCCTCGAATACCTAGCGCTTTACCCAAAGCTGGTTTTGTGGAGTCACTCTCGGTACTAGTTTGAGGGACACAGGAATAAAGGAAGCAGGGGACTCCGAGTGGGCTGTGAGTAGCAGACGGCTTGGAGTGCCCAGCCCCGGTCCTTGTTAAACACAGTCATTCACCTAAGTGCCTTGCTGGCTCCTCCTGGCTTTACTCTGGTGGGCCAACCTGGACATCCTATACCCTATCGTAGATTTCTTTCCTGGAAGCTAAAAATAGAACTAAGGGAAACTATGGAAAGGACACTGATGCCCCAGGCGGGCTGTCCTGGAAGCGGAGCCTGAGACGGGGTGCAGGGGCACTGTGGAGGGGGACTGTGGAGAAGGGAGCAAGGGCAATGGTGGCAGCTGGGAACCTGCTGCTGGATAAGGTCTAAGGGCGCCTGAGCCAGCGGCCCCAGGGCGTGGGTGCAGCGGGCTCACATGCCAAGCCCAGCGTGCGCGTGTCTGTGCGGGACGTGCTGTCTCAGCTTCTCCCAGGTGGAAGGAGCGGTTAGCCAGGGAGTGAGCACGCAAACCCAGGAGCCAAGCCAGGGAGCCGTGGGCACGTGGGACCGCGGGCAGCAGTCCCTGCCTGCCACAACCGCTTCCCGGCACAGGGCTGCAGCCTGCCTGGCCAGATATGCCCGTCTAGTTTTTAAGTTTATTTCTTCTGAGAGAGCATGCGTGCAAGAGAGACCCCTGAGAGGGGCTTCATGCCGTGATCTGCCCCAGTCCCAGCAGACCTGGGTCACAGCACACGCATGCACCCAGGGAGGTCCTGATGGCAAACTCAGGCTTCCTCTCGTGGGTCCGTCTGTGTCACTGCTATGTCACCTCCTAACCCGGGCTCTGCCCATCTTTGGAGAGTGGCTGCAACTCTGGATTCTTATGGAGGGCCTCCAGACTTGCCAGTGTTAGCAATGAATTCTGAAACTGCTCCAGCACTGTGTGGGTTAGACTCGATGTGTCCAAGGGGCAGGCTCAGCCTCCTGCCTGCTGGCCTGTGGGCTCCGTGAAGCTGTCTACCTCACCGGCAGCTGATTCTGGCAGCTCAGGCCCCCAGGTGCCCCCAGCCCCAGCCCCCTAGACTGCCTGCCCTTGCAGCTGGAGAAGGTACCTGAAGAACCGGAGACGCCAAGCCGTGGCTGTGGAGGGCGCAGTCCCCTGTCCCGCTGGTCAGGCCTGGCTGGGAACCAATCAGAGCCGCCCACCGGACACTCTGCTCACCGCTGCTTTGTTGCCTTTCAGCTGAGCGAGGAGGTCCAGTGCTCACTGGCCAGCCACATCCAGACCCTGGTGAAGTCCGAGAAGAACCGCCAGGTCATGTGTGAGGCAGGGCTGCTCAGGACCCTCATGAGCGCCTGCTGCAAGGCCCTGACCACCGCCAGCAGCCCCCTGCACTCACGCCTCATCAGGATTTTTGAAAAGCTCGCTTCCCAAGCCATCGAACCGGACGTGCTCAGGTACCGTCACTGGGCACTACACACTGCTGAGCCCGGCACCCACTCCCGTCACAGGGCAGTGGTGCACAGGGACAGCAGAGTCTGCGGGGCAGGTGCCCTTCCCTGCCCCTCCACGAGCATGGTCCCTGAATCCCCCCAGAAGTCTGTGGGCACACCTGGGTCTGTGCTGGGCAGTGTACAGATGCCCATGGCTGAGGTGGGGGTGAGGGAAAGGTGCCTTAAAGGAGCACAAGCTGGAGCCAAGCCCCAAGGCCTGTGCAGGTCACTGGCCTAGCAAGGAGGCAACACCCGCTGGGAGGCTGCGTGAGGGCCAGGGTTGGAGCCTGACCATACTGAGAGACTGGATGCAGGACTCGGGGCCCAAGTGCGGGGTGGCCCTGGGGACCCCCACACGAGGGGCACAGGACAGTGCTCCCATGGGTTGGGAGGGTCTCCTGCTGTGGCCCCTCCATGAAGCCACCTGTTTCCTGCAGAGCTGCATGGCAGAGAGAGGGTGCAGAGGGTTGGCAGACATGGAAGATAGAAAGGCAGGGGGAAGACAGGCTGCAGGGGGAGGTCAGGAGTGTCCCAAGACCTTACCCCACCCTGGGCGGTGCTGAGATGGTTACTTGAAGGGCCGCTTACATGCAGGAAGCATCTGGGGACAGAGACAGCCCCTCCAGCCAGCAGCACGGGCCCCAGAACCTGTGGACTGCCAGGCAGGCCGCCATGCTTACGGCGCCATGTAGGAAATCCCTTTGCAAACAGAGGCGACATGCAGCCCAAGGCCTGCCTCGAGGCTCCTAAACTCACCAGCTCTCCAGTCTGGCAGCAGGACAGCAATGCCATGTCTCCATGTGACTTTTGGGAGGGGTGTTCCAGGCAGAGAAAGCTGGGCACAGAGAAGGGGACGGGCGGCCGGGAAACTCTGGGGGTCAAGGAAAGTGGTCAGGAGGAAGCTGGAGGAAACTTCAGTCCATGAAAGTCTTCACGAGGTTCTCGTGTGTTGTGATGTTCAGACAGTTTCTAGGTCTCGGAATTCTCCCACTTCCATCAGCTGCTGGGAAACCCCATCGTTCGTCTCATGTGCAGGGAGGAGGCACCCCTGGGTGCTCAGGTGAGAAAAACAGAAGAGCAGGGCAGTTCTGGAGTAGAGGGAACTTGCACCCTGCGGAGGGTCATTACGGTGGGTGGGGGCACATGTTTAGAAAATGGCTTTGCTGCTGCTTGGTGGAGCAGGTGAGACAGGATCGCTGGTCCCCGGGAGAAGAGCAGACGCCTCCCCGGCTCCTCAGTGTAAGACATGGCGTGAGCATGCGCTTGGCCCCTCTGGGCCCAGATGATGGGGCAGAGGTGTGCGGCATAGCCCACGCCTGGAGGGAGTGAGGGTGGCTCGGGACCAGCTTGGGGAACAGAATGGAAGTCACAGTCCCGGCTGAGGGGCAAGGATGGGGAGGCGGGCTCGGGCTGACAGCCAGAGGTGGGAGCCAAGCTTCAAGAGGATGGACTGCCCAGGGCGGGGTGATGGGGTGAGGCCGGAGGAGGTCCCTGCAGGTGGGTCCAGTGGGGACAGGCCACGGACGGCTGCAGGGAGGCTGTGTTGGAAGTGGGTTGGAGGCTGCTGGGACATAAGGGAGCCATTTCTGGGAGGAACAGCTCACTGCCAGCTACCCAGATCAGCAGAGGGTGCAGGCTGGGAGCCGCCCTTGTGGGGTTGGGAAGTGCCCGGCGATTTGACGGAGCACCCTCGCCAGGGTGTGGTGGTACGTGGGGACTTGGCCAAGAGAGGGGCAGCAGTGCGTCGGGCAGACACTCCTCTCCTCTCGCTTGTCTCAGGGTCGCAGACTGCAGCACCTGGCACCATGGAGGGCCCCTCGGGGGCTGCACCTGAGGGCAGCCCATGCCCTGGAGTCACGCAGGCTGACAGGGCCTTGGGGGCACCCCGGGATCCCGGCACCGCCCTTCAGACGGCACTGAGCCTCGTCTCCATGACATCCCCCCGCAACCTGCAGCCTCGGCGGGCGGCCCTGGCCCCCTCCTTCGTGGAGTTCGACATGTCCGTGGAAGGCTATGGGTACGGCAGACTTGCCCATGGTCGAAAGGCACTTCATTAATTGTCCAGTTTCTGTAGTGAATTATGATATCGATTACAAAAGTGTAGCTCCCATCAGCTCCTGCTGCTCAGCCAACTGGGTGGTGGACACACCTGCTCAGTGGCTTCCCAGGGCTGCGTCTCTGGCCGTGGAAGGCCAGGACCCTCTCCTCCCCGGTGGCTGATTCTGGAATGCCCCCCTGCCCTGTCCTGTCCTCAGTGCGAGTCCTCCCTGTAGGGCATCCTCCCGCACCAGCTGCTGCCTTCAACCTGGTCTCAGGGGGTCACTGCCCAGACTAGCCGGGCCCGTGTGGGAGGCTGCTGTGGCCGTGTCTGAGATGCTTTCCTGTCTCCAGCTGTCTGTTCATCCCCACCCTGTCCACGGTCATGGGCAGCAGCACCGAGTACTCCGTGTCCGGCGGGATCGGGACAGGTAGGTATCCCCAGGCGCCCTGCTCTGTGTGTCCCAGCCCGTGGTCTGCATGTAGACGGAGCTCATTAGCAGGGGTCTGAGTGGGTGACTTGCCGCGGAGCATGGGCTTGCTTCCTTTTGTCGGTGACCAGTGGGGGCTGGACTGGGCGTGTCCTCACCTGCCAGCGCTCCCTGGAGAGGAGTGTGAGTGCGTGAGGACAGTCGGGAACAGGCCAGCGTCAGCAAAAGGCTCCTGGAGACAGACTGGGCCCTGGCGTCCTTCCCACAGTATTGTGCTCGCTGCAGGCCCGGGGTGGGGCGGGCAGGCACCTTGTGCTGCCTGAACTGGGGTCTGGGCCTGAATTTGTGTGGGAGGGTGGGTGCCCAGGGCCATCGCTTCGTCAGCACAGGGCTGGCCTCTTTCTGCTTGAGCGCGGCACCCAGGCTGCCAGCACAGCTGCCGATTCTGCCCACGCAGTGGGGACAGTGGCCCTGTGTGTCTCCAGGCCTGATAGAGGGTGGGCGGGCACAGCGTGGCCTGGAACAGAGACCTTTTCCATCCAGGGTTAGCTGAGAAAGGCCAGTGCCCTGCCCCATGGACCACACTGCCTGGCTTCAGCTCAGCTGACCAGGGTTCAAGTGGTGACAGCCTCTGGTGACAGTGAGGTCCTCCGTGATCCCATGGCAAGGCAGTCTATGTAACAGGGTGAATGCTTTGGGGACCAAGGCACGAGTCCTGGAGGGAATATTGTGTATTTCCTGGGAGCCCCCCTTCCTGCTCTGAATGTGAGACAGTGTCCCCCTCCACATGGCATGAATTGGGCCAGGTGCGCACCTGAGCTGGGTCAGCACCTGGTGAGTCTACACCTGCTCCCTCGGCTTGTGTCCGGCCCCAGGGACTTCCAGATCATTTCCTCCGCCCGGGGGCCTGACCTTCTCCTGCTGGTTCCTGATCAGCTGGCACGGAGCCACCACCGAGGGCCACCCGCTACGCTTCCTGACACTGGTTCGCCATCTGGCCAGGACCGAGCAGCCCTTTGTGTGCTTCTCCGTCAGCCTCTGCCCGGACGACCTCTCCTTGGTGGTGTCTACAGAAGAGAAAGCATTCCAGTCGCTGGGTAAGCCACGGGGCCCAGAGCTGGTTTCACCGACACGCAGAGGCCCGGGGCCAAACCAGCCACTCCAACACGTCAGGCTGAGAAGCCTGCTGACCCCCCACTTCTCTTCATCTTTTGAAATTGCTCCCAGGGTTCCATGCCTGGTGAAATGTTAGATATTTCTTACGTGCCACTGTGGCCTGGGCTCTAGGCCTTGTTGTGGCTCTTCCACTCAGTGGCTTTCCAGAGACATGCTGGTTGGAGGGGCCGTCTCTGTCCCCAGACGCTTCCTGAATGTAAGTGGCCCCTCAAGCAGCCCTCCCAGCACCGCCTAGGGTGGGGTAAGGTCTCGGGACACTGCTGACCTCCCCCTGCAGCCTGTCTTCCCTCGCCTTTCTATCTTCCATGTCTGCCAGCCCTTTGTACCTTCTCTCTGCCATGCAGCTCTGCAGGAAACAGGTGGCTTCATGGAGAGGCCACCAGCAGGAGACCCTCCCACCCCGTGGGTTACAACGGAGTACTGCCCTGTCCCCGTGCCCCTTGTGTGGGGGTCCCCAGGGCCACCCTGCACTTGGGCCCTGCGTCCTGCATCCAGTCTCTCAGCATGGTCAGGCCCCAGCCCTGCCCCTCACTATGCCCTGGCAGAGTGGTTCTGGACAGGACCCATGACTGTGCCTCATGGGGACACAGGCTGTGTCACCTCCTGAGAAAGGCCGGTAAAGAGCGCGCACAGTCTAGCCATAGCTGAAGTGTCATCAGGCATGTCTCCATATGTCCCCATCCTGCGCCCAAGGACTGGCCAGTGCCTGGCATGGCAGGCTGGTGGCCTTGGGTGCTCAGAGCCTGACCCTCCTCAGTGGTGCTGGTGGCTGCTCCTGGATCTGTCCTTTGGGGCCCAGCCTTGTCTCCAGGCTCACCTGACTAAGACAGTCAAGCTCAGAGTATTCTTCTGGTGTGTCCTGAAAGTGTCACCACTTCCGAGTGACAGTCTCGGAAGGCCCACGGGATGGCTGGCATGCCTGGCACACAGCACACCTGCCCCTCTCCCTCCAACTCAGGACTTGGCCTGCAAATGGGTGTCACCGTGGAGGAGGCACAGTGAGGGCTAGAAGCCCAGCTACTTGACCTTGGGCGAGTTGCCGAACCTCTCTGTGCCTCAGGATGGGAGAGTGAGGACGGGAAAGCGCCTGCCTCAGAGCTGCCATGAAAATGACGCGAGCTGATACCCACAATGGCGCTTAGCCAGTGTCTGGGACAGAAAGTGTTCAAGGCATGATGGCGGCTGCGGCTGTCACTGTCGTCATTGGAACAGAGGAGAGGCCGGGCCACGGCGCTGCGGGACGAGGGCTGTGCTAGCCACCCTGGCTGTGCCCTGGCCCCGCGCTCCGGTGCTGCGCTGCAGCATGGTGCAGTGTTCGTGCTCTCTTCCAGATGTCATGGAGCCCGAGGACGACGCCGAACCTTCTGCAGGACGCCAGCTGCAGGTCAGGTGTGGCCAGCTGCTGGCTTGTGGTCAGTGGCATCACCTGGCTGTGGTTGTCACCAAGGAAGTGAAAAGGAGTTGTACCGTTTCCACCTATTTGGATGGGCAGGGCATTGGCTCAGCCAAGGTGAGACGCTTCTGCTGAGCCATGCTTGCCCCTGACCACACCACCCCAGGGACTCGGTCAGGTCCTGCGTGCCAGCGGGCTGGTATCTAATAAAACCCCTGCCGCTCTCCAGAATACTTGGCGGCACTCAGGCATAGAAAGTGTACTTCAGAAAACGAGGCCAGCCTCGGCATGGTGTTTAGGGTGGCTGGGTCTCATGTGGCTAACTGCACGGTTCGAGTTCTGGACCCGGCGGCTTGAGAAACATGCTGGGTGCATGTGCATGTGTGCCCCAAATCCTGAGCAGAGAACAGAGGAAAAGGGATTGCAGTGTGATGGCCCCCCTCAGGGGAGCTTTCTCACTTTCCCCCCCCTCTCTCTCTCTCTCATGAAAGTGGTCACTTTTGCGCCCTACAGCAAATTAAAAAACAGAATAAAACAAAACAAAAAAACTACAGTGATAACCAGAAGGATTTTTGGTAGGTGCATAAGAAAAACAGGTCCCCCAAGCATAAAGTGAAGATTTCTCTCCATTTCTTCTTCATTGGCAATACCGGTCCTACCTCCTTCCCACTCTGTCCTCTCCCTTTGCTGCCACTGTCTCTCACCGACGTGTATGGAGTGCCGACTGTACCCCGTGCTGTGCATTGGCTAGCGCTCCAGGTGCCAGGAGCTGCCTGTGTCTACCAGCTGGCCTCGTGAATGTGAGTGAAGTGCAAAGGAAAGGTTAGGCTTCATAAGCTCGGTATAGTAAGAAAGTCCTTACTCTATGGGGAAATAACGAGTTTGGGGTGGCTTATCACATAATTTAGGACCATTTCAGTGGTTTCATGAGTTTCGAAAAGCAGAGGCATGCCTGTTGTGAATTGGGTACTGTCAGAAAGGGCCATTTGGTGGCTGCGTATTTATTTTTCTTTTAAGAGAGAGAGAGATTTTTTTGCTATAGGGCGCGTCTACTTGCCAGAGAGATAGACAGACAGAAAGCAAGAAACCACTGGCTGGGGAGATGGCCATGCCACAATCCCTTCTCTAGTCTCCTCTTGGGATTTTGGGCTTGCATATACACACACCCTGCTTGTTTTAAGCGGCTGTGTCCGGAACTTGAACTGCAGTCGATTACGTGGGAGTCTAGTGACGTAACCGTTATGCCATCTGCTAGTCCCAGTGGCTGTGTATCTTAATAGCTTTGCCCCAGACTGGAGGTCTGGAGATGGGCTATACTTATCTCTGGGAAAGAAGCTGTTGTCGCCCACATTAGCCAGGATGGGGTGTGTGGTCACGATTGTGGTTCCAGTGTGGTCATTTCTCTGCTAATGACTACCCAGCAGGATGCCAGCTGCAGGTCAGATGTGGCCAGCTGCTGGCTATGGTCAGTGGCATCACCTGACCGTGGTTATCACCAAGGAAATGAAAAGGAGTTATACCGTTTCTGCCTATCTGGGTGGATGGGTCATTGGTTTGGCCTTCTTCTGCAGAAGCGTTGCTATCCGTGGAGTAATTCATGTATCATGAGGCACAAGGCATGTGCTCTTGCTCTTTGTACCTTTCTTGAACCAACACAGGGGCTGACATACAGCGAGTTTGGAATGACCACTCCATGAGCTGAACTGCATTTACAGCTGCAGGGAGAACATGCCTGGCAGGTGGGGTGGTCGGGTGGATTGGGACATGGATGAACGTCTAACCCCCTGGGACCAGCTAAATCCAGGGCAGGCAGCAGGATGTCAGAGTGGTATGATGCCATGGAGATATGACAGAATATTCCAAAATATGCTACAGGATCAGACCAAGGCCAAGTCACTGGGGGACAGAGTTCATTTTCTAAGAGAATTTCCCCAAGTAAGGTCAAGACCATCAAATGAAATTTAACCAGGTCAGACATGGAGGCTTGTATTTTTACGCAAACATCCACTGGGCAAGGGTATAATGGGAGAGCTTCAACTTAGGTTGAAGATGACCTAAAATTGTAAAATCTTTGTTTTTACTTCCAAGGGAGGTAAGTTATTAGATTGTTAGAAAAGTCATGACACATTTTTTGCATAGAAAAACACAACATGACTTTTTCAAGAAACGGATAAATTGGGGGCGGGTATTTTAGCATCTTGAACTGAGCAATGTGGGAGCAATTTGAGACAGCACATGTTTGTAAGTCAACTGGAGTGAGCATACTTACACCCCTATCACAGCGAAGTCAGCATACGCTGCAGGAACCTGGGAAGAAAAAGGCAAGGTGGGTAGGAGAGTTGGGACAAGGCTTCATCCATGGGAAAGGGCCTGTACCTGGGAGAACAGACGAGGCAGGATAGCGTAGGGACCGTGGTCTTGGCAAAGCGTAGTGGCTACAAAATTGGTTTGTTGTTACTTAAAATTTCACTTAGTCGTAGGGGAGAAGAGTTTTTCTGAAATTATGTGCGATCTCATTAAAAATAGATGCTGATGGTTTTCTATGCTTTTTTTCTTAAAGTGTTCTGGTTTTACATTTTACGTTTGAATTTGTAATCAATTATAAGTTAACGTTTGTATAAACTATAAATTAAAATTTATTTCTTTGCCTATAGATGTCTAGTTGCTTCAGCACCATTTGTTGAAAGATTTCTTCCTCTTTTAGATTGCTTTTGTCTCTATAGAAAATCAACTGGGCAAATTGGTATAAGTTTAATTCTGGGTTTTCTAATCTGTTCCACTAATTTATGTGACTATCCCTCTGTCAATGTCACATGTCTTGATTATTATTATTAGGTAGAATGATTCCTCCCATTAATTCTTTTTTTTCTAAATTATTTAAGCAGTTTTAAGGCCTGTGCCTTTCCATATAAATTTAGAATTAGCTTGCCTATTTAGCTTGCCAGCTTGCTAAGATTTTGACAGGAATTGCATTATACCTACAGAAAGAAATGACATCTCCGTTGAGCCTTCCTATTCGTGAACATGGTGTATCTTCCCCTTTAGATAGATCTTCTCTGACTTTTTCCAGTCATGTTATACATTTCATGGTACAGATTCTGTCTATGTTTTGTTAAGTACTTAATTTTCTTTTGAGCAATTACAAATAGAATTGTTTAATCATAGTTCCTGCTGTTCATTGTTAGTCCATAGAAATACAATAGATTTTTGTGTATTGATTGTGTATCTTTTGACCTTGCCAAATTCATTTATTAGTTTTAAGCGATTTATATATCTTTTTAAAGATCATTTGGAATTTTCTACAGGGACGTGTCGTCTGCAAATAGAAGCAGGTTTAGGTTTTCCTTTCCAGCCTATACACCTGTAATTATTGTTAGAACATAAACATTAGTGTGTTAATACTAGATATTTTAGTTCTCAGCAAAATTATTGAGACAAAGATGAACATCTTTGCATACCTTAATATTTCTTATCAATTGTTTTTCCAAAGGCAGTGTCAAGTTTTTATGCTCGTCACCAATTTATACATTGTTTTACTGCATATATCTACGATTTAAAATGTTATCATTTTAGTATTTTAGATAATATTTCTTATAAATTGTTTTTCCAAAGGCACAGTGTCAAGTTTTTATGCTCACCACCAATTTATACATTGTTTTACTGCATATATCTATGATTTAAAAAGTTATCATTTTAGTATTTTAGATAAAGTAAATTTTTACTTTGAGATGAGAATAATGGGCATCGTGTTACATCACCATGCATTTATTTGATTAATTCTGAGGTTAAGCACTACTCACTCCCATCCCTTTCACTTTACCAGATGTTGTACATTCAGGCTTTACCAGGACCTTTTCTTTCAATGGACCCATCTTCGTTTGTGGATGTTTATGGATACATCGCTACCCCTCGCATTTGGAAGCAACGATCATCGTTAGTCTGGCGCCTTGGCCCTGCATACCTGTTTGAAGAAGCCATTTCAATGGAAACTCTTGAGTTTATTAACAAACTTGGCCCAAGATACTCTGGGAACTTCCAAGCTGTGCATGGCCAAGGTATGGAGTGTTTCGATTTCTAACATTCTTGCTGGTCTAAGTATTTAAATGGGTATCCCATTATTCATAGCATATTTATAAAGAATAAACTCATCATAGGTCAGTCATTAGGGAAGACCTCTAATTGAATCATTATGTATTTACAACCCAACAGAAAATGTCACAGAAAAGGAAACGACAATATCCTTCAGTTCAACTCTGAAGCACCTAATGGAGGAGGGTGGTGTGTAATACTGTCAGCAAAGACAGAGAGAAGAGAATGAGATAAATAAGTTACATTCCTTTTAATGAAGAAGCTTTTTAACTAAAGTATACTGTTGTCTTCAATTATTAAACAGGCAGACAAAACATCCACATTTTCGCTATCGATTGTTGGCTGTTGCTCTCTGTGCTCTGTCAAGTCAAGGGGGTCAGCTCCCATCTGGGAAGCATGATAAATGAATCTCTGGATGGACGGCTTGTGCACGGGGAAGGGCGACTGAGTGCTGCTGAGTATTTCTGTCTCCAGGCCCTTGTCTTCTTTGAACTTCATTTCCTGTGGCAAATGGAGCAGAGTGGAGAACTGGGGTGAGGCCCAGTCCAGGGTCAGGCTCACCACTCTATATCCATGCCTTGTTCTTCTAGTGCACGGTGGCTCTCATCGCCTTGGGGAGCAGCAGGATAATTCTAAGTGGGGTGATTGCCATGGGCTCGTGGAAAACCTTAGGCACTCCAGCCCACCTAGTTCCCTTTCTGTAAGTCAGGTTCTTTGTCACGTACCGTTTTGACTGTAAGGAGTGAGGTTGTGACTCTGGTAGGTGTTTTAAGGTCTAGTAACTTCACAGCTGGAATGCCTCTGTTTTATGGTAGAGTCGGTCTGGAGAATTTCTCCACAGTTTTCTGTGAGTGTCAAAGAGATATTGGTGGAGGCAAAACACCTGACATGCAAACAAATACGTGCAAAACACGCACCCTGGCAGCCCACAAACATCCTCTCGATGACCGCTCTGCTGTGTGGTGGCAGGTATTTGCTCTCCCGAGGATTCATTTTGTTCTCTGTAAAGTGAGGCTGGATGTGATTAAAGACGTGTTGTTCCAGGAGAGGACCCAGACAGCGAGGCAACGCCCCTTGTTGCAGAGGAGAGGATTTCCTTTGGACTTCACGTAGCCAGCTCCTCCTGCACCAGCATAGCGGAGATGAGGAATGCGTACAATGAGGTGGACAGCCGCCTGGTGGCCAAGGAGGTACGCCTTCCAGCCGCGGTCCGCTGGGATCTGCAGCTCACGCCTGCTCCAGCTGTTAGTGCTTAAGTAAACACTAGCTCACGCCTGCGTGCGTGTGCATGTGCGTGGGCACACACCTGCGTGCTTCTCACTTCCTCTGCTCAGATGCCCTCTGCCTTCCTACCTATGAGCATCCCCAAGACCTAACCTTTTACTGACACTTGCTCAGAGAAGGAAGTGGGTTCCCCTCGTGGGAGAAAGGAACAAATGCACTTCCAAATACCTGTGCAACATGACACAACTGACTTTCCTCTTGTCTGGGTGCTGCTGATTCATCAGTGCTGCAAACTGTTCTTTGCGTTAGTGTGATTTAAAACAACAACAAACGGGGCCAGCGGGCGGCATGTTGGTTAAGGCACTGGACTCCCACGTGGCTAACTGTGGTTCGAGTCCCAGACCTGGTGACTTGCTTTCTCACTTTCCTTCTTTCTCTCTCTCTGTCTCTTTGTTGTGAGCACACATGCCCTCTAACAAAATTAAAATGATTATAATAATAATTAATAAATAAAATAAAATAAATTGAAAAACAATAATCACAAACAACAAGAAACTTGCAAAATGCAAGTAGCCGCGTTCCTAGATGAGACGCTGCCAGATTGACTGCGAAGTAGTTACTCTGTGAAGACCCCTTTTGCTCAGTGCTGGTGAATTTTGGCTAATTTGTTTCTATTCTTCATCCTCCTGGGCAAAGGCCCCCTCTTTTTACAGAGGGGATTGTCAGGAAGCAGGTCCTGCTGAGCGCCAAGGCTGTGCCTCAGGGAGCGCGGTTTCTGATGGAGAAGGCCGGGCTCCCTCCCTGCCCATCTGGTAGAGGTGGGACTTGCCGAGAAGTGGCTGCCCCTGCCTTAGTAGCCCTGTCTCACTGGGTATCTTTGGTCCTCTGGCTCTTAGTGGCTCCTCACTGCGAGCCTCGGGGACATTGGTGACACAGACTATGTAAGTGAGTCACTGACAATGAAGCCACAGCCTGAAAGGCAGGACCTGCGAGGCCAGATTTGGCCCTCAGTGCCCGACACCAGCCCAGGTACCTGCTGATCAATGCGATGGAGGCGAGCAGCGGCCAGCCTCAGCATGGCCAGCCCGGAGCCTGCGAGCAACGCCGCTTTTGTTCCAGGAGTTTCTTAGGACTGATGACTGCTAATTCCTCTAGATGAACATTCCATCCCGTGACAATGCCATGCCTGTGTTCTTGCTGAGGAATTGTGCTGGCCACCTCTCGGGCTCTCTTCGGACCATCGGGGCTGTTGCCGTGGGCCCGTTAGGTATGTCAGGCTGCGACACCACCTGCTCTCTGGGGGATGGCTTGTGCGGACACGACTTGTGTATCCCACCGTTCTGGAGTGACATTCGGGAGGGTGTATGCCAGAGAGCCGGGAGCATTGCCAGAGCTGGGAGTTAGCCCAGCCAGAGTCAGCCTCCCAGATGGGTGGTGGCCAGCTCACCTCGCTGCATCCGGCCATTGGTGAGAACTCAGCCACCGAGGGCTGGCGTCCACACACAGCGGTCCCTAGTGAGCGTGGTGAGGCCGCTGAGCAGGGAAAATGGCTGAGGTGGTTTGGGCAAGGACTTATGGTGGCCAAGCAATTGGGCAGGAGCAGAAAGGGCAGTGAGTTGCTGTGAGGGGCCAGCCCCGCCGGGTGCGGAGGGCACACACAAGCCAGAGGCTGTCAGAGCAGCCACAAAACAGGCTCACCCAGCACTCTAGACCCGGCCGAGGGCGGCCATCTGAAACCCTCTTACTCAGTCCAGAGAGGACTCAGTAACATGCCCTTCCACGAGCTGAGACTTCAGAGCCCGCAGCCGGTTCAGGTGCATGGGGCCCCTCCGACTCAGAGTTCAGAGTCTGAACTCTGCAGAGAGCTGAGCTGTCTCATGTCCCATGTCCCTGTCACTTTCCCTCCAAGTGCAAGGACCTGGAGGTCTGAGGTCTCAGTGAATGTTCATCAAAGCAGCAGAGCTCTGAGAGGGAGGGAGGGAGGGAGGGGGGGAGAGAGAGAGAGAGAGAGAGAGAGAGCGAGCGCTAAGGATGTGGACATGCCCAGCGGCACATGGAGGCAGGGGAGTCAAAACGAGATTTCCTGCCAAGTGAGGCAACCTGGACGGACCCCGAAACTGTTGGCTGAGTTCATCCGAGGTCGGGACCAGGAGGTGGACAGTGGACAGTGTTGACCAGGAGGTGGGCAGTGGACGGTGTGCTGGCAGTTCGTGTGCCCTTCTGTGCCACTGAGGGACTGTCCGTCACAGTGAAGCCGTGGGGTACTGATGAAATGCCACCTCTGTCCCACACAGGGGTGAGGGTGTTCCACTCCAGCCCCGCTGCCAGCAGCTTGGACTTCATTGGCGGACCCGCCATCCTCCTGGGCCTCCTCTCCCTGGCGACGGACGACCACACCACCTACGCAGCTGTGAAAGTCCTGCATTCCGTCCTGACCAGTAGCCCCATGTGTGACCGCCTGATGCAGCACATCTGCGGGTACCAGGTAACCCCTCCCATCTAAGCCTGGGGCTCCCTAAAGGGCTGTCATCTCCAAGAAGCAGGGGTAAGTGTCCCTGCTTGCCCCAGTGTTACTTCCTGCATGGTGACTCTGGAGAAAGAAAGCTGAAGACCCCCCGGGTCCTGAGGCCAGGATCACCACAGCAGAGAGGGCCAGGTGGCAGCCAGACCAGGAGGAGTGCTGTTCAGGATGGGCATGCCACCTGTCCATGGTTTCTGGCACCTTCGCTGACAGCTTCTAGAATCACTGTGATTTTTCCACTGCTCTAGCCAGATGGCTTCAAGCCCAGGTTTGGAGCCAGACTGCCTGGGTGCAAATCCTGCTCCTCCTCCACCTCGGTGTTTAACCTTGGAGGAGCTGCTGACCCTCTGTGCACAGCTTCCCACCCGTGGGACAGGATGCTGTACACCTGCCCCGTGGGCTACAGAGAGCACCGGCGATCGTGAGCAAGGGCAGGCTTAGAGTTACTCTGCCCCAGAACGAGTGCTCAGTAAACGTCAGCCGTTGCTCTTTTCTTTGTTTAGTTTTTTTTTTTTTCTTCTGCTGTAGGATGCGTGTGCTCACTAGAGAAAGAGAGATAGAGAAAGGGAAAGTGAGAAATCACCCCAGAGGGTATTTCTGCAATCCCTTCTCCTCCATTCTCCTCTCAGGACTTCGGGCACAGACACATACTCACTAGCATGATTTTTGAGACTCCAGATCTGGGATTCAGACCACAAAGTCAGCCTTGTGGGATCCAGTGCCTTAACCTCCATGCCACCTGCTGGCCGTGCCATTGTTAGCTCTTCATCTGCTGTGCCTCAGTCCCCCAGTGCAAAACGGGGATCGCAGCAGTACCTGTTCTGTAGGGTGGTTATTACATGTGTCGTGGAAGAGTGTCTGCGTGGGTAACCGCTGGGTGTGCATTTGCTGCACTGGCACTTCTGTCTCCACTGGACAGTGTCAGATGAGACGTGGCCACCACCCTTGCGTGACTTCCTGTGTGGCTGGGAGGCAGCTGTGTGAGGGGTCATGGGGGCTGGGGTTGGGACAAGGTCATTGGGCAGACAGGCAGTGATGGCTTCTCCTTGTGCAGCAGGACTGGGGGACAAAACTGGACAGTGTCACCACAGGCACTGCTGGCATGCCACCATACTCAGAGAGTGACCCTTCCCCCGGCCTTCCCCTCGCAGCCACTGACACCTGTTGATGTTCCCGTTATAGACCCGACGGGGTTTCTGCCCGTGTAAGCCCTCAGGGTGTCTGAACACTGATCAAATGTCCCAGACTCCTCGGACAGATCCCACATCCCACCCACCCGTCTCACACCCCATGCTCCCGCCTCCCCAGTCCTGCGTCGTCATGAATCACTAAACAGCTGACGACTCCTGCACCTGTGTCCTCAGGGGCAGCAGTGGCTGGCTTTCTCCCCATGTACACTGCTTTGTATGTGCCAGGCCAGGCCCAGGCTGCAGTGGTGGCCTCTCTCTGGCCCCCTGAGCTGAGTGTGTGGCCATCTCCCGCTCCCTCGGCACTGTGGGTCTACACTGCACTGTAATCTTCCTGCCCCGAGTCTTCTGGAGGCCTGGGTGAGGCTTACTCTCTGCCAGGGTATTACCGACACCAGGTCACCACTCAGCATGCATGGTGGGAATAAGCGAATGGATACCCTGTGTGTACAGTGAAGCTCAAGAGCTGAGGCTCCTGTCCTGTAGTTTGTTTATGGAGTCGATAATAGTAGCAGTGGGATTTGTTCCAAACTGCATGAGGATATCTGCTCTACTTAGGGACTGGAATGACTGCGAGTCTCTGGGGCCAGTAGCAGCGTGGTGGTCAAGGTGGGTAAGGTGCTGCCCACACGGCTGACCGGGTCGGAGTCGTGGACCTGGCGGCTTACTTTCTCACTCTCCTTCTCTCTTCTGATCTCTCTGGTCAAACAAACAAACAAAAGTGGTGATAATAATAATAATAAATAAAATTAAATAATTATTTTAAAACACTTGCTGAGGTCTCAGTGAATGTTCGTCAAAGCAGCAGAGCTCCTAGAGGGAGGGAGGGAGGGAGAGAGAAGAGAGAGAGAGAGAGAGAAAGAGAGAGAGAGAGAGAGAGCTATGGGTGTGGACGTGCCCAGCGGCACATGGAGGCAGGGGAGTCAAAACGAGATTCCCTGCCAAGTGAGGCAACCTGGAGGGACCCTGAAACTGTTGGCTGAGTTCGTCCGAGGTCGGAACCAGGAGGTGGACAGTGGACAGTGCCTGTGAGCTGGACCCACTCTGTGGGCCCCTAGAGCCAGGTGCTGCACCAGGCGCCAGGGCAGAGGTGAAAAAGACGGGTTTGGTCCTCCTCATGGGACGGACTACCAAAGGGGGTGCCAGGAAAACGCTGCTACCGTGAGACAGACCCCAAATACTCAGCTGGGATACACAGCCATAGATCCAAGGACATGGAATCCCTGTGCACACGAGAGCTGGAGGGAACTTCACGTCTCCTCTCCTGCTTAGAAACTAAGCATTTGAAATGTTTCTATCTTCAGGGGAAATCAGGGTGTGAAACTGGGTGTGGTAGCGAAGTGGGAAATGGTAGGTGTGAGTGAAGAAATGGGATTGTTTTCCTGTGTTTTCACCTTCTTTGCCCACTCTCTGTAAAGTGGACCCTCCCTGCCACGTCACCCTGCAGTGTGCGCAGTCTGTCTCAGCCCAGACTCACGCTGCACGGGGCGCTGGGGTGCCCGGAACGCGCTGGCTGCAGGTGCTCCAGAGGGTTTGGGCGTGAACTGTGAGCAGGAGCAAGGCCGTCAGGGACTTGGTTCGCTGGGCACAGGCTTTCAGCACGTTTCAGGGTCTGCTCGGTGTTCATGTCGGCCTCCCCGGTTGTCCCTGTCCGTTATTTCTGTCCCACTGACTTACTACCCCTTCCCAGACGAGGTGACCCCCAGCCGTGTTAGATAGGACAGACGTTCTCAGCCTGGTGAAGAGGGAGGACGGTGTCCAGACGAACACAGGAAGCACTGCAGGGCTCCAACGTGGTGCCTCCTCACGGCCAGGGGGACAGGATGGTTGGGAGCAGTGCACGGCAGATGGAGAGGGAGGGAGACCCAGCTGGCCACTGGCAGGACTGTGGCCTCAGGCCTGGAATGACGGGCGCCATAGGGAGGTGCAGGACGGGGAGCCGGCATGCCTGCGCTGTGGGGCGACCTTGGACGTCCGCGTGGAAGGCGGGCCGTGGCGGAGAGAGCCGGGGCCCAGATCACATGCAGTGTGGCACGAGCCTGCGTTCCCGACCCGGGGAGGCGCGGGCTGGCGCAGAGCCGCAGAGGCAGCCAGGGCCGTGTGCCCAGAGGGCTGCGTGCCCAGAGGGCTGCGGGCGCGGCAGGCAACAGGCGTTGGGATATGCCAAGCTGGAAACCTCTGACATCGGCGGTAAAATGCCGAGCGGGAGGGAGGCTCTGGAGCACAGAGCAGCAAGCCGGACGGAGTGTCAGTGTGAGTCTGGACACGGGGCTGCCGGCGCTTAACCCGCAGGAACTGAAACAGCCAAGGAGCGGGGTGGGCAAGAGATGAGGGGGCAGAGGAGGAAGCAGCGAGGAGCTCGTCACATGGCGGGAAAGAGGGAAAAGAAGCTAAGCACACTTGTCAGAGTCCGAAGGGAGCAAGTGCTCTGAGAAGGCAGGTGTAAACAGGGGCAGCGGTGATGCCGAGGTCTCGGGTTCACACCCCAGACCTGCCTTGTGTGCTGCGTGCCCCGCACACACCTGCAGTCTGCACTGGCTGCGACTGGGAGGCCTGTGGGAGTGCCCGGCCCTCTGCCCTCCACCCCATGTCTCTCTCAGTCAGGGAGGAGAGAAACCAGCTGAAAAGAACCAGCAGTGCTGAGCGGCCATAAGTCATGAGGCAAACTAAGGATGGAGATGTCCCTGCCAGATCTGGCCACCTGGAAATCGCTGGTGACCTTGTGAAGGAAGGCAGATGGTGGAGGTGGCAGCCGGATGGAGTGGATTGGCGAGAACACGAGGCGAAGGCAGGGAGCCAGGAAGCTGCCCATGGTGATGTGCAGTGGGGTCAGGGCTGGAGGGGTTAGGGTCAATTGAGAGAAGGTTTTTTTTTAATTTTTGTGTTTATTTATTTATTTATTTTTACATTTTGTATTGGGCACATGCACTGCGAGAGAGAGAGATAGAGAGAAAGTGAGACAGCACCTCCAAGGGGGTGGCCACACCACAATCCCTTCTCCTCCATTCTCCTCTCGGGATTTGGGGCACACACATGTGCCCCACGTGATTTCCAAGCCACCGGGTCCAGAACTCCGCGTGTGCAGTCAGCCACTGGCACCCAGTGTCTTCACCTCCGTGCCACCTGCTAGCCTAAGGGAGGGCTAGTTTTAAGGTGAAAATGCTAGAGCGTATTTGCACATGGAAGGAAATGCCCCAGAGATGGAGGAGAGCGGGAGAGAGGGAGGTCAGGGAGAGGAGAGCCGTCCTACAGAGCATGTCCTCGAGGAGGACCCAGGGATTGGGATGGGAGACCTGCTCTGAGAGCAGCACCACCCAGGTGCCCACAGATGTGGTGGTGGAAAGGCGGGGCGGGGGGGCTCCCACCTCGGCAGTGTGCAAAGGCCGGTGGTGCAGGGGCACAGAGGGCAGAGGAGAGGAGAGGGTGAAGTCAGCACCCTCGGGGGAAGAACACCAGGTTGCTAGAATTCAGAGTTGGGCTGCGAGGCCTACTGCGAGCTGGCTCGACAGCGGACACTGTTATCACCAAGCGCGGCTGGTCAGCCCGAGTGCGGTTTTCTCCGGCAACTTTGAGCCATCTTAATGATGCCCTGATGGGAGGGGGGGAGTGGAGATTGCCATGTCTGTGAAGAAGTGACCAGGACAGTCGGCAGTGAAATTGGGTACTTGCTGACCTTGAGTGAGGCTTTCTAAGGGTGCGTGGAGGTGGTGAGCCTGAGAGGACGGGTCGGGATGGACGGGTCAGATTAGGGAGTGGGAGCCGAGCCATGACCAGAGGAGCCGAGAGTCCTGAGGAGATGATGAGGACCAGGAGCCAAAGGATGGCTGGGTGGCCTGGCTCGTGTGACCGAGGCCAGAGGGCAGGAGGCCTGGTGGGCTGCCTCTTCGGAGCCTCTGAGACGCTTCCAGCCATGGAGCCCATTGCTGGGACCCGGGCTTCCTCCTGGCATGGGGTTGCAGGCCACTGGCTCCCCAGGGACAGGCCCGCATGATGGCACATCTTGAAGTGAGGCTGGTGCACGGGGCTCAAGGGCAGGAGTGGCTTCCTGGTGACACAGCGGCATTTATGGGATGTTCATGCATGTAGAGGGTCCATGACAGGAGATGAGAATGCGGCAGAGGTAAGCAGGTGCAGGTGGAGAGAGGGTGGGATCCTGGAAACCCAGCAGGGAGCCTGGGAGAGGCCCAGGCCCAGTGAGAGCCGAGTCACCTGAGTGCAGAAGAGAGGACCCTGGTGGGGAAGCGGCCGCAGCAATGGGTCCATGCTCTTGTGAGAACACGGGATTGACGGGTGGCAGGGACACCAGGGACCAGAGCGCCTGAGGTGCTGGTGGGAACGAGCCAGCGAGGAAGAAAGGGCCCAGCTCCGTTCGCACATGTGAGGAGACCGTGTGCTTTCCCCTTGCAGGTAATGGCATTTCTCCTGAGGAAGAAGAGGTCTTTCCTGAACCACCGAATTTTCCAGCTGATCCTCTCTGTCGCCGGCACTGCAGAACTGGGCTTCCAGCCGTCTGCCATCACCAATGTTGGAATCTTCCAGCACATCCTCTGCAATTTCGAGGTGAGTCAGAGTGTGGCCCTCAGCCTTTCCGGAGTGTGGGCGGCGGTGTGGTAGGTGAAGAGTCTGCGCTTCTCTCTCTGTCCAGCCGGTCTGCTTCCTAGATGGTCACGACGGTGTGGGGGGAAACCACAAGTCGCCGGTGTCAGAGGCCCTGTGTCTCAGTCCGTTATTGGGGCGCTAACACGGATGACTATGACTGGGTAATTTATGAGGAAATGGAGGTTTATTTTACTCACAGTTGGAGGTCCAAGGTCCAGGAGCCACTTCTGGTGGGGCTACAACATGGCAGAGGGCAGGGCCCGGAGCAGAGTGGCCAGCTACGAGCTTCTGTCCCCTCTGGTCTCCTTTCCCCTCTTACAAACACAGCAGAACTCAACCAGAGAGGGCCCACCCTCGTGACCTCCTCACACCCAAAGGTCCCGTCCTGGGATTCCATGGGGGGTTAAGTTTTCACTCAATTCCTTTATAATACAACCAAGTCCCAGCACGCGAATGGGCAGGCCCCGAATGAAAGCACCTTTATTTATGGTTCAGTCCTGGCACCTGTGGGCTGGGTGTCCTTGGGCAAGACTCTCGGGCTCTCTGAGTCTGAGTCTTCTCACGACGGAGATGGAGTACATTGTGCTGCCAATCACACAAGTGCCTGAGTCTCGGTAATTTGTGAAAAACAGAGGCCCGAGGTCAGGGGTTGTATCTGGTGAGGACCTTGTTGGTGACACAGAGCAAGTGTGCGTGTCCCTGTCCCTCTTTATCCGCAGCCAGCAGGACACTACCCTGGGTCCCTGCCCTAATGACTATCCAATCCCCATCACCTACCTCTGAGTATCACTGAAGGATTACATTTCACCCTGTTCATACTGTTAGAGACACATTTCAGCACATGAATATTATCCTTTTATTTGTGATAGAGAGCGTGTACATGATAGAGACAGAGAGAGGGAGGAACACCCCTGACTAGGCCCCCGACACCTTGATCCCCCGGCCAGATCTCCAGCCTATCCGGCTCCCAGGCCAACCTGGAGAACCAAACACCTGCAGTTCAGTCTGCTGCCGACCGCGCCACCAGGCTGGGCCACACGGACTCGGGAACATACTCCAACCACAGGAAATGGACACCATCAACCTTTCCTAAGGCTGTCGCACAGTGAGACCGGACAGCGTCTGGGAAAGGACTTTAAAACATGAGGTTTAAAGAAATCGCCCACTTCTATTTTAAGTTATAGAAAGGGAGAAAGTGTCCCTTTTCCCAAGACCTAGTTGACTGTTGTCACATGTGGACACTCCCTCTGCCATGCGAATACACGGATATAATAAACCTCCTCACAGTTATGGCCACACTGCGGCTGGTGAGTCCTGCCTCTCCTCACTTATCAATGTTTCACCACAAAGACCTGCAAGCATTGTTCCAAGGTGTATGATATTCTGCCGCGTGGAGAGTTCCCGGCTTCTTTACCGTTCCTTGCTGTCAGATTCTTAGAATTTTTGAGGCAAGTCCTTACTGTGTTGTGACCTCCGCTTCAGCCTCCCGAGTTTCGGAGATCACAGAACTCATCACCACGCCCGTCTGTTTCAGGTTGGACCAGGAGTCGAACCTGGGCCTCAAAAGTGGTTCCAGCCTGCAGAGCACAGTGTCTTCGCAGTGTATGCCCCTGTACTGTTACAAACACTGTGGGGACAGCACTTTTGTGTCTACACACACACACATGCACACACACACACACACACACACACACACATTTTTATTGCTTTTTAATTTTTAAAAAAAATTTAGTACTATTTATTTAATTTTATTTATTATTATTGTTTAATTTGCTATAGGGCATTTGTGCTTACCAGAGAGAGACAGAGAGTGAAAAGAGAGGGAGAGAAAGTGAGAAAACAAGCCAGCAGGTCCAGGACTCGAACCATGGTTGGCCATGTGGGAGTCCAGTGCCTCATCACCACACCACCTGCTGGTCTGCCCCTACTTTTTTCTTAAGTGCCAGAGGGTATGTGCGCTCACCAGAGAGAGACTGGGCGGGGGAAACACTCCGCAGTGGGGCACGGTCTCCCTGTGGACCCTTCTCTTCTCCATCCTGGAGGGATTCAGGGCACACACGTGCACTGCTCCTCGAGTCAGGCTGGGATTCCGGTCATGCAGTGGGTGTGTGGGATGCAGCTGCCTAAACCAGCAGGCCACAGAGCTGTCCCTAGAAGCCGGTTAGAACTAAGAGACGAGGGAAATAGTTTATAGCCATCAACGTGTGTATTAGGGATTGGGACCAGCAGTTGGCATAATGGCTGTGTCGTTGAACTCCCATGTAGTCAACTATAGTTCGAGTCTCAGACCCGGTGGCTTAAACTCACGCCAGGTGCATGTGCGTGCATGCGTGTCCGGGATCCCAAGAGGAGACTGGGGGAGAAGGAATTGCAGCATGGCCATACCCCCTGGAGGCTGATTTCTTGCTTTCTGTCTCTCTGTTTCTCTCTGTCTTTCTGGAGAGTTCATGTGCCCGATAGCAAAAATCTGTCCAGAAAAAAAAAAAAAGGAATGAAAATCGGGAAGGGGGAGAGGGCGGGAATCAAGGGAGTAAAGAAAGAAGCCAAACATTTAAGGGACACAGAGTGGAGAATTACTCGTTGATGATGTGGATGGTAATACCGCTGGCTGGGACAGTATACAGCGTATTCTCGATGGGGAAATTCATCTGGTATGCTGTAATGATACACAGTGATTGAATGACTTTTTAAAAAATAAATGAAAAGATTATAAAAAACAAAAAAATGAATGAACAGAGCCTCCAGATCAGGAAGTTACTATGACTAAGCAAATGAAAACAAAGCCCAGAGAAAGGAAGAAGGAAAAATAATGACACAAACCTAAGTTAATAAGACAGGGAAGAGAAAAGCATGCAAAGGAGCATCAGGTTGATTTCCGATTTTCGTAAGACAGACAAACCTCTGTTGAAATTGATTTTAAAAATTGCTTAAGGAAAAAGACAGAAGGCACAAATAACACTGGCGAGGGGAGGAGAGAAAACCACGGAGGAATGAGCACCTGGGAAGCTCACAGGGCCAGACTGTGGCTTGGAGACCCTGTGGGGGGTGTCGTCTCTCTCTCTGTCACTTACGAATGAGTTGGTCACATTAAAAAAAAAAAAAAGGTAACAAA